TGAAACATAATATTCTAACTAGGGTTTCTGGTATGGAGGTTCCCAGAACCCATTCTTGGGAATCCTGGTAAATTTCTAAAAGCTAATTCCCAGAAAAAATGAACTTTTGTACTGGAAATTTTTTTAAGCTTTTAAAACTTGAGAATATTTTATGCATGTTTGCATAAAATATTGTCAAGAGGTACTTAATGCATGTACCCCCTTGCTTGTCATCTGGTTGCACTTTTCTTAATCTTAATCTCCAAAATAAGCTCTAAGGTTTCATTTTATTTTTAAGTTAGTTACTCATTTTTATCACAGAAAACTTTTTACTGATGACAAAATTAAATAAAAACAAAAACCTTTAAATATCAGTAATAGAACTGGTATTTAAAGGTTAAAGGTTTTGTTCTTATTTGAATGCTCCAGTAATTTGTAAAGGAGATAGTTATGACAAAATTAAAATAAAAATATTTGTTATCAGAGAAAATTTGTTCTAACAGGTCATAATTGTTCAGTTGAGTAACAAGGTATCACTGTATTTGATTAATGCAATTTTAATATTTGCGGTAGCATCGAGGGATTAATTAACTGCCTTAATCAAGGGATATCTGTATATATAGTGTATATTTTATATAATGTATGTATGATGTCCTTTTTCATAGCTTGTACCCCCCTTTTTTATAGTCTGTGGGCAGTGCTGTTTGACTGTGATGTTTTTTTACACAATATTCCTAACATATCTATATAAAAGTTTAGTATTTTGTTTATAATATACTTTTCTATAAAAGTTTTTGTATTTTTCTGAAGTACTATATTGCTAAAATATTTTTCAGATACAAGTAAATTTCAAAAACACTTCAAAATTTTATGGCTCATGATTTTTAAAAATGTAATAACTTTGTTATTTTTTAGAGAATCATAATATGTTAATTGTGTTTTTTATTCCATAAATTGTAAAATTACGGAAGCTGGTTATTTATTAACTATACATCTTTCATACACTTTATTTCATATTATTTCAATATTATTCAATTTATTTCATATTCATATGCCTATAATAATAGGCAAAAACCATTTTATAATCTTTTTGCTTCGTTTATGTTAAAAATTGTTTCATACTGATTCGTAACTTTAAAAAAATAAAAATATTCTGATAATTTTGCTGAATTGTACTGACAGGCATTAATGTTATTCAAACAAAAAAGAACATAGTGGCCAGACACATGGAAATATTGTAGTAGTAGTAGTTTTTGTTATTCATTTAAGACTCATTTTTATCTTCAAAAGATATTTAATCAGATTTAATTTTTTGCAATAATTTGAAAAGTATTAACAGAATATAATTTTATATTCATGGTTCACACTTGTCCAAAAATTTTGTGATGATTTATTGATTTCTGGTGCTGCAGTTTTTTTTCTTTTGGTGACAGAAAAATGTTACTGACGATTTTAGACTAAGTATTTTGTATATATAAAGTACATATTTCAGTTTAGATGCTTTTAAAAATAAAACTAAAACAATTCCCAAATCCCAGTATTTCATAGGCATTTCATACTCCCAAAAAGTCCAAAATCAGGAAATTTCAGAAACTAATTCTGATAAGATAACAAGTGGTGGATTCAATTTAAATATATTACCTTAAATACCAAAATTACTGAAATGGCTGCTTTTTGGATATAAGATCTAGCCTTATTCAGAGAAAAGGTACAATACTATCAAATCATTATGTCTAATGCAGATATTTCAAGAAAGTGGTATACCAAGTCTTCTGTTGAGACTTTTTGATATGAATAAACTAAACAAATGAAATTTACAGGCTATTATTATGATGAAATTCAATTAATTCTTATTGATATACATCAGAAGCAATAATGTAGGTAACCATTTGCATTCATTTATGCATACCATGTTTTTAACAACATAATACATTTTATCCACAAAAACAATATGGTTAAATATACTGATAATTTTATGTCATGTCTTGACTCTCAAACAGGTTACATTTAAATTCCCTTGAACATCTCTGCAAGTTAACTAAAATGATCTATTAGATATTAGATGTCTTAATCCACTGTCCACTATCAGTGCTATTTTATGAAGTATTGCACAGTCTATACAGCTGGATATTTCCCCACTCTATTTACATCACATAGTTGTTATAAAAAATATTTCTGCAATTCTGTATGCCAAGATAAGCTCTAGATATTGTTAGATAGTAGCTAATATTTTTTTAGATATATGCATTTAGTAATTTATGATTTAATTTCTCTATAAAAAATTTGAACAAATTATGAATTCAGTATTAAATTCATTTTATTTTTTTCTAATTGAATCGTATTATTTATTAAGTATCTTATCACATAATTTTATCAAATCTATCAAAAAAAAAANATTTTTTTTTTTTTATTTACTTGGAAATTTGATAAAGACAATCTGACTAACAGCAAATATTAGTCTGAGTAATAAATTTTTTTAAGGTATACATGACTTTATCAGCTTCATTATACTTAAAATTAGCTCATACTATTAAAAAAAACCTACTGAAACTTAATATATCTAAAACTATCAAAATAAGTTGTGAAACTAAAACATTTTTTAAACATTTATAAACCATTTGCTGTATCATCTGGTATATTTTTCCAGATTAAAAAAATATTAGAATACTTTAGTTAATGATAGAAATTAATGCACAATAAACTGATATGCAATTAAGCTCTTATAGTATGTTCCATAATGCATATAAAACCTAAAATATTTTAATTTGCTTTTATTTTCAATTTTAATTTTACTCTATTTATAAAAATTTATAATATTGCAATTCAACTTATCACCATTTTTATTCGAAACTTCTACTATACAGCATTTTTGAGGATAAAATAAATATATTCCAAGAATATTTTCAATAAAAGTGTATTTGTGCCTCAGAGTTATATAAATAAATTATTATATTTAATCTTGTGATATTAAATGTTTTAATAATTATGCATTTAGCAATAACTACTGTTAATCAATAACAGCTCTATAAGAAATAATATGTGATACACTAAATGATCAGTAGGGAGCTTATATTAGTTTTACATATAGATTTATATATGTTTAATTTTTCTTATTTATAGACTATATAAATACAACACATATAAGCTATAATATATCAGCAATATTTGCAATGATTTGTATAATACTGAAATAATAAAATGAAAGTAAAATAATAATTAGGTCATTTTATGTAATATGTAACTAAAACACTCTATCATTCATTGATTGTAAAAAATAATAAAAATATCATTTTTTTATTTGACAATAATAAATATATAAATATTAGTAAATTTTTTTTTAGTTTTTATATATTTTTATATCATAATCATATTTGCTAGAAAAATTTACTTCTAGAATAAACTGAATTAATTTTGTTACAAATAATTAGGAAATATTTTTTTTTTTTGCTTAAACATATTCAATTTGCCAGATTATTTGTTTATAATAATAGAATTACGGTCCAAGGATCCAAACAAATTTGGCTTGTATTTAGGTATAGGTTGGGTGCTATTGTGTGTGTGTGTTTTTGTATATAAATCCAGTTTTTTAGTTATGTAAATATAATACAATTAAGTTCATGAAAGTATTTAATTTATTCAATTTTAGTATGAATCTTTAAATATACCAAAGAAAAGTAAATATAAGAAACTAAACTCAATCTTTTATCAATATATACAAATATATATTTCATATTTTGCTTGTAATGACCTCCATACATCTTTAAAATTAGAAACAAACAAACAGAATATTAGCAAAAATGAAAATACATACTTTAAAATATAGAAATTAAAGCATACACAAATCATAAATTTTGTATTCCAATATTTATATTCATATGGTTGTCAATAAAACAACTTTACAAGTATTCTGCATATACAGAAAGATGTACAGAAATAATGAAGGAAACTTCACTATGAAGTTTTGTTTACTCTCATCCTAATCAATCATACATACATATATTAATCAGAGAATTATAAATTCTATCTCATCTAAACTAATTAAATATAATAGTAGTATCAACTGCCTGATTAGTACAGTTAGATTAATTCAATTCCCACAATAAAAAGAAAAAACAAGCTGTATCTCTCACTAGAAAAAAATTTTCCTTCCATATTTTAAAATTAGGTGTAGTTGGTCAAGCTAGACTAATTTCTAATAACAGTCCCAATGTAAACTTTTAAGCTTCGTCAACTCACCTACTTTTATAGAATGTTTAACAGCATTCAAAATATATATTTGCAGATTTTTAATAAAATCAATGTTGGTTTTTAATAGAGACTTTTTCTAGAATGATTTAACATATACAAATGTAAATATATTACAATTTGTATATATTATTTTCAATAAAACAGAGAATTTATTACTTAATCCTAGACTATATTTAGATCAATTTGAACCATCTCAAAATAAAAAAATGAGAAAAATAGCAATTTTTTTTTCAAAATATGTAAGAGATTTATTTAATCTTTAATTACATTTCTTTACAGCTGCATATTTTCCTATTTTATGACAGGAAAATATTTATTTGATAAATTTAAATTTTATTAAATTCCTATAATTACAACATTTAAATTTTCGAAAAAAAATCGACACAAACATTCTTTTTTTACTTTAATTATTTAAATTTCTTCAGCCAATTTATTTACAAAATGATTAAATTATTTTTCACATATTAATAAATTTCTAATTTAAATTAGCATTGAAATTAATGGTTTTATCCTTCTTTAGAAATATTTACTTATAAATCAGTCTTAAACGTATATTTTAGTGGATTTTAGTTTAAACCGTACTATAATAAAATGAATTAACTTTGACGTTAAATATCAGATCTTAAGAGCTGATAAATGCATAATTTTTATGTATTATATTTGACGGTTTAATTATATTAGTAATACGATTTAACGATTAAATATTAAATTTCAAATTTTATAAAAATTGTACGATAAAGTTGCGGCATAAAACAAGCTAAATAAAACCATACCTGAGTCGGCGATGGGAAACCCGCCATCTTGGCCGTTTTTAATCCAGCGGTCTCTAGCGGTAAACGGTTGAATTAATATTAGGAGGGGAATTCAAATATCGTTCGATGTATTGTAGTAGAATTTAGATATAAATTCGTGATGAGAAGAAGTTTTGCGCCTAGTCAGTTAGAAAAACGAAAATTGGACGACGAAGATTCGATAATACAGAAGAAAACAAAATCATCTGATTTATCACTTCACGAACAATTGATAAGGAAAATATTAGCACGACCTTTCAAAATACCGATACCTAATTATTCTGGTGTGCCTTTAAGCCATAGGACTTTAGGACTTAGAAGGAATGGGACGAGAAGAGCTCTACATGATCCTTACGAAGAAGGAGCTTTGATTTTGTATGAACCTCCTCCTATTCCTCTTCATGAACAATTAAAATGTGAAATGAATCAGCAGCCTGTTCATGTCGTCGTAGACCCTATATTGTCGCAAGTTTTACGTCCTCATCAACGTGAAGGAGTCAAATTTATGTGGGATTGTGTTACGGGGAAACAGATAGAAAATAACTACGGTTGTATCATGGCCGATGAAATGGGATTAGGTAAAACACTTCAGTGTATTACTTTACTATGGACATTATTAAGACAAGGACCAGATGCTAAACCTATTATTGATAAAGCAATCATTGTTTCTCCAAGTAGTTTGGTGAAAAATTGGCAAAATGAAATCACAAAATGGTTGAAAAATAAAATTAATGTTATGGCTATTGACTCTGGATCAAAAGAGAAAATTGATAAAGATCTTCAATATTTTATGAATACGAATGGTCGTCGTGTTGTGTGTCCCGTTTTGATTATATCGTATGAAACTTTTCGATTACATGCTGCCGTGCTTCATAAAGGAGAAGTCGGATTTGTTATTTGTGACGAAGGCCATCGATTAAAAAATTCTGATAATCAGACCTATAATGCACTTAATAAACTACAGGCTAAACGTAGAATTTTAATTTCTGGAACACCTATTCAAAATGATTTGCTTGAATATTTTAGCTTAGTTCATTTTGTGAATGAAGGGATACTTGGAACTGCCCAGGAATTTAAACGTAAATTTGAAACGCCTATTATAAGAAGTCGTGATGCTCATGCATCTGATGCTGAACAACAAAAGGGTAATGAACGATTAGAAGAATTATTGTCAATTGTAAATAAATGCATGATTAGACGAACATCAGCACTTTTATCAAAATATATTCCAGTAAAAATAGAATTAGTGGTTTGTTGTATGATGACACCATTACAAAATGATATATATGTAAATTTTGTAAAATCTTTGGATATATTAAAGTTAAATAATGCCAAAGAAAAGGGAAACAAAGTAAATGTCTCTCTGTCTGCAATTACTTCTCTCAAAAAATTGTGTAACCATCCAGATTTAATATATGAAAAATGTCAAGAAAGCCCTAATGAATATCTAAAGTATTTTCCAGAAAATTATAACCCCAAAAATCTTTTACCAGAATTATCTGGTAAAATGAAGGTTTTAGACTGTCTCTTGGCAGTTATTAAAAGTACTACTAAAGATAAAGTAGTATTAGTTTCTAATTATACCCAAACTCTTGATTTATTTGAAAAACTTAGTAGATTAAGAAACTATAAATATGTTCGTCTTGATGGTACAATGTCTATTAAAAAGAGAGCTAAAGTAGTTGAGACATTTAATAATCCTGATAATGATGAATTTATTTTTATGCTTAGTAGTAAAGCTGGTGGATGTGGTTTAAATTTGATTGGTGCAAATCGATTAGTAATGTTTGATCCTGATTGGAATCCAGCTAATGATGGACAGGCAATGGCTAGAGTTTGGAGAGATGGTCAAAAGAAACAGTGCTATATATATCGTCTTTTGACTACTGGAACAATTGAAGAGAAAATTTTTCAAAGACAAACACATAAAAGAGCTTTAAGTAGTTGTGTGGTGGACAACACAGAAAATGTTGAACGACATTTTAGTTTGGCTGAATTAAGGGAATTATTTCGCTTGGAAGTTGGAACTTTGAGTGATACACATGATAAAATTAATTGTAAAAGATGTGTTAATAATATAGAAGTTAAATCTCCATGTAATCAAGCAGACTGTAATAGTGATTTATCTGATTGGTGTCATTGTGCTGATAAAAAAAAATTACCTGATATTATTTTAAAATCAATTTGGGATTCAGGCATTTCTTTTGTTTTTCATCAGAAATCTCATGATCAAAAAACTGTTCCATAGTTTAATATATGTAAACACAAATTTAGTATATTATTTTATACTTGATTATGTAACTTAATTTATATTGATAATTAGCAATATCTCTGTGAAGTACAGTATCTGTAAAAAAAATACAAAAAGTGTAATTAAGTGAAAATATGTTTTATCTTACTTTTAGAGCATTGTAAAAAACTATCATATATTTGTAATTATAAATTCTTTCCATAAATTAACAAATTTAATAAATTCAAACACAAAGTGCTGATAAACAGACTCCAGTAAACATTATTTATTTCTTATTGATATATGTTATTTATTATATGGAATTTCAGTTTATAACTTGCCTTTCCTTGGTCTAAATCAGTGGTCTTCAAACTTTTAACATCTACAGAACACTCATGCCTTTTTGTTTTTGTTTTTTCACACAACCTTAAGCAGTAAAATTTAAAGAATGTATGAAAGACTGATACTGTTTCATTTTCTGAGTAATAAAATTCTTGTAATTATATAATGTAGTTTAGAAATTTTTATTTCTCAATATTTTTAATGTTGAGTAAAAACTGTCTTTCCAGAACTATTGAATGTTGTTTGCTATATTACATGGTTCCCATGAAGTTTGAAGACCAGTGATTTAAATGTTCAAAGGAGTTTAAAATATTCAAAAAATATTATATAATTCTCTTAGATACATATTTTTTTTTTAATTTTTAAATATGAACTAAATATACTTAAAATTTTGAAGTATATTCATTTTGATTTGCATTCTACAGAATATTTTTATGATATCACTGTTGTTTCATTTTAACCAGTTATATTTTTTCCTGATAAAAGTCAATATTGAAATTAAAATTTAAACAATTTATAATTCAATATAAGACAAATTTCTTAACTGCTACATCTGTCTGTTATGAAATATTCATATTATGTATACTATTTATTAATTTTGAATAAAATCCCAATTTCAGATCATTTTGTAAACTTCAAGTTATCTTATTGATTGTTTTGATGATGATAAAATTATTTTTGCATTACAAATAAATATTTTAACAACTGGTTGAGAATAGCAAAAAAATAACACTGCAATAACCTAACAAACCAGCAACAATATTTTAAACAATGTGCGAACGTTTTCACCCATGTTGAACTGGCATCATCAGGCAACAAACTGTAGAGAAAACATAGGGGATTGCCAAACACATTCATAGTGGGAATGGAGTATGACATAAGATGAGAGGAAAAGGGAGGGGAAGAGGAGTTTATAATTCATAGAAAGATTTCCAGGCAGTGGGGAAAGTCAGCATTGCAATAATTTATGGTTGAGTTATGGCAGGTGGCCTTGTAAATTTCCACTTGTTCCAAATGTTTAAAGGCAAATTGTTTAGATGCATTATGTAAAAGGTGTGTTAAGCCTGGGTCAGAAGTGCTAGCTTCCTTCCTCAGAAATAATAATAGGAGTCACTAACAGAAACCTTAGTAAACATCTTAATTAAAGAACACAAATATGACATCAAGAAAAGAAGTATTGTAAGGCTTTGTCTAGAATGGCACAAAGTGAAGGATCAGTGGTAGAATGGGAGGAAGCTAGCATTATAAAGTCAGTACACTCACAGACATTAGCAATGAATTTGGAAAAAGTTGATTTATAGAAGTAATGTTTTAGGCAATGTATGAACTAGAAAGATGCCACAGTATTACCCACAGCATGGAAATATATAGTTGAAAAGAACTTATTGGAGAATTAAAAGCCTTTTATTAATAAATTAATTACAAAATAACTGTACAGGTATCAAATATGGAATGAAAGTAGCGGGAGTACAGGTACATGGTATTAGCAAGGTGCCTAGATATAGGTGAATAAATGGTATAATGGCTTGTAGCCAGAAACAAATATACGGGTAGGTCCCATCGAGCCGCATCCCAAGGGCTCGTTGCCCGCCAAAGAATAAACAAGTGTGTGAACAAAAAAAGGGAGATCAAGTAAAGCGATGTGGGCGCTAGCCTGACCCAGATTACATACGATGGGGGTTGGTAAAGTTGACGGTAAGCACAGACGAATTACTATTATTATTATGGTGAGGATGGTAGCTGTGATGCTGTTGTAGTAGTACATAACGTTAAGATCCATACAATCAACAACAGATGTTAAGAATTAATTTTTCTTCTTATTTCCTTTTTAGTATTACAGTATATTTTATTATTTTGTTAAATTTTGTACATATAAATATTTTATTATTTTAAATTNCATTTATGTATAGGTTTAAAACTTCTAAATTTGTTATTCTACTGATTCTATTAAAATATTTAAAAACATAAATGGCTTAGGAAACATTTTTTCCAAAATTTGTTTGAATATCAAATTATTACTTATCAATGTTTTAAATAACTTCATACAAATAGCTAGGAACATTCTTCTCAAATTAACACCTTGAAGATAATTGATAATTAATTTAATTGGATATTTTTATTCATTAGTCATTTAAATTATGTCATTCATTATGAATTTTTACACTTTCATTTCTTATTCCGAGTAACTCATTTATTTAATCAATCAATTATTCATATTCCTTACATTATATAAATTACATACAGTTGAAAATTTTATTCTAGCTAAAAATATGAATATTTCCACAAAAAACAATTTTAAATGTGCTACCACACATTGTGTAGTGTTACTGTATGTCTTTATAAAAGTTTTGTTATGATAGATTTTTATACACACACAAGAACAGAAAAACATGATGAAAATACAAAATATGATTTTTTTTTTATAAAACAGAATTTAATCATTTTCTGTAATCCTTCTGTTTGCACGTTTAGCATTAATTAATAATGAACAAACTAAATTTGTTTTCAATCGCGGATATAAATTTAGAAAAGATATTTATCTCCCTTTCATCCGCTACTGTTTCTAGACTTGGACATGATTTATTATTAAAGTGAGTCAAACGAGGAAATATTTAAAATTCATGAAATTAAAATCACAATAAATGAAAACGAAGTAAAAGTATCAATTTAATGAAATTCGATTCAAACACGTGTCACAGCTTCTCAATTACAGTACATGTTGAAATCAACCATTTCTGAACTATTAAGAATTATCAGAGCATGTTGTTTAAATAAAAAAATATATACCGGTATATATATAATAGCATAAATGTCAGTCTGCAATTATTTTTCACTAAAAACTTAATATAATTAAACGTCAGACACGTTTCTTAAATTCTGTTTCGGATTAGTGTTGCCAGATTTAAGTTCATTTATTGTTGTTCTCGTATAATTTATTATAAATATTTTATTATTTTAAATTACATGTATTACTATATTTAAGTTAATAAATAAATCCCAGTGAGATAAGGTGTTATGGAAATTAAGAAGCATCTAGCTGGGTATCAATTAATTAAGTATAATTCAACCAAAATACTATTACTAAAAAAAGCTCATTTAAATTCTATATGAAAATCCTTCAACAGCATTAAATTTAGTTTGCTGAATTAATTCTACTTGCTATTTTTTCTTGCATTATTTTGTTCTTGTAAACAATGAAGGATTAATAAAGTTCTATATGATGTTTTTAATTTTGTATATATATTATCAAATTCCACAAAACACTTGTTATTTTTTAAGATATAACACGTTTTAAAGATTTTCATTGAAGTTCTTTGTAGGACAAAGAATTTCAACGAAATTTGAATATCAGTCAAACATTCAAGTTACTCAGTAGAGCTAACAAACTATGTTCTGTGAGAATTAATTTTTTAAATTAACAACAAATTCACAGACTATGGACAAGTAATATTAATAAGAGTATCAGATCAATAATCAGTACATAATAAACATTTTCAGGGTGAAGATATATCTTTCAGATCTTCAATACTGTAGTATTATGTGACTGGAAACTATGTAATATATACAATTCCATCACCATTATAGAATTTCTGGACAAGTTGAATCACCCTTATATGTTAAAAAAAAAAAGAATATGCAATAAACAATATATAGTTAATGTAAAAGGCATTCATACACTGGAGGTTTTTACAAAAAACTAAGTATACATGTCAAAGAAAGAAATGTAAATAAGAAAGTTAGTTAAACTGTTCTATCATGCTCTCATGAAAACATTTTATTGGGTAAGATACAAAAATAATGAGACCATTTCAAGAACTAGACAAAAAATCAGAACAAATGAACATCTTGTCTTACAAAAAGTATTCATACATATAATTATAATAAGAAAACACATTAAAAGTAAAACAGATTTAGTGTTAATATTAATTTAATACGTGAATAATAATTTAATATATTAATATTTTGTTGGTAACCTCTTCGAATATAATAGCACTCAACCATTGTTACATGAAATTGACCAACTTGGCTGTGAAGTTTACAGATATTTTTGCACCCTTCTTGTAGCACTGATTTTAAATCATCTCTGTTTGAAATGTGGTAACTTCTTGTTTTCTTTTTACAATAATCTGTGCTTAATAGAGTTGATGTGAAGACATTGTGATGGTGTTTCAAAATAATTGGGATGTTATACAATATCCATGCTTCAAAAGCATGTTCCAAGACTTTTGAAGCATGTTCCAAGCTTTGGATCATTACCCTATATGAAGATGTAATCATTTTAAAGAACCATCTTATGATCACTAATGGGCAAGTTTATGCCATGAATGAAGTATAAAGAACCCACAGACAACCCCAAACAAGCACAGATCCTCCACCATGTTTCACTTTGAAAGAAACGTTTTCTTTATTCAGTTCTGTATTTGGTTTATGCCATATTAGACACCTTCCATCCAACTGAAACTTGTTGAACTTACTTTCATTGGTGAATATGACTTTATTCAGTAGCATGCCTTCCACAGATGCTGGTGGAAGCACTGCTTCCATTGTATTTTCTAAAATATAAATACATATTGTGCAATTATTTTCATATTTGAATGTACTTTGAATTAATTAAAATTAATATTTTATTATAATCACATTATGTATCTTATTTTTATACTACATTGAAAGAAATGATCAGATTGCTATTGTATCTTCGAATATAAATTCATATACAGTATGCATATTCCCAATGGAACTGCTGTATTGTCAAATAGGGACAGCAAAAATATTTGAATGGTGTAAAGTAGCCAGATTATACGCATTTGCGCATGCACTTTACAGAGCATCAACCTCACGCGATTTAGCTTATGAATGCTACACACCAAAATATTGTATAATGCTTCCAATGATTCTATCCAGGATCAGCACAGCTTCCCTATCATCAAATGTCACTGCATGCCACTGACTTTATTCCAGAAGGTCTGAGATGAGTTGTGATATTCTCTGGAACAATGATTTCCCTACTTGTGCTATATGGAACTTCTACTAATAAAATTCGTTTTTGAGCTTTAATTAACAGTTTAAAATATATATG